ATTATCTTACATTTACGATAACAACCTCTCAGGAAGCACATATGCCAAATGCGTTCAATGACACGCCACTACTAACACTGATATCCACGAGACATTAGATTCTCCAGACAAATTTCACCTAGCTACTGCCACCTGGTGACAGCTCAAGTTAAGCTGTTGAAAGTGTCGCTCCAGTGAATATTATAAATTTATCAGTAAAATAAACCATATATATATATATATGTGTGTATATATATGAATCACACTGGTTAGTAATAAGAAAGATCCTATGAAAGAATATATATATACATTTGTTCGAGTATGTATGCATGTATAATATCGGAAGTAAAATAAAGCTTGTATTTATTCGCTCCTGATAATATCAAATATATTACAGACTTTATGTTATCTATCAGATTGTCAAGTCGGCTTAGTACGATAAAGTATATAAAAATATAACAATACTGGTGCTTGAAGTAGAGTAAGTGCAAATCAGTTTCTGAGATTTCCATTATTTTGCTGCACCTATTATTCACTCCATATTTCTGAGAGCTATACACCCACTGACTCTGCTCATAGCATATCAGCTAAAATACGTGTGTGGGTTCTCGATATCTGAGATTCACAAGTTTCACAAAAGATTCACTCTACAACCTTTTGCATTGCAGCAACGTACCCGATACTATAGTACCAATCTTGCGCCGAAAGTATTACATGGCAGTAACAGAGCTGACCTTGAGCCTTGACAAGGACATAGTATAGAAGATTAGAAGGTCGCTGACACTGCCAAGCATCTGTTAGATCGACGGCGCCTGTTCCCTGCAAAATAATTATTTTATCAAAAAACTATACGATAGATGTTTTTTTTCAATCAATACATAATAGAGGGACATAAAAAGTGGTCATGCAGTTACCTTTCCTGCTAATATGTCTTGATAAAAGACCAATGTGGGCAACAGAAGAGTCATTCACCAAGCGTTAAACAATCATAACAAATATGGTCGCATTGCTCAGAACTGAGCAGAAATTCACTAATTTTTAATGGACGTTAACAAAAGAGGAAGAGAATGTTAGACATGTCTATATAGTATATATTTATATATATAGCATTCAACATACGATGACGGTTCTTGCAGGGCTGGTGTGGTGCATTCCACTTCCTTGTTTTCCAGAGTGTCTTTGCCCTTCTTATGTTCTTTATGCTCCAGGTACATGACAATGAAGAAGAGTATGACAGCGACCAGAACCAGGACCCCGGAAATGACGAATCCTGTTATGTAGCTGTTACTGATGTCGTACGCCCATGCTGAAATATGAGCACAGACCGATCGTGAACTAGATAAGAATCCGTTGCTTTAAGTTACTCCTACCACACGTCTTCACGTGTGGCTACGGTACTTACAACACCGTACACGACTACACTCCAGATCAAAATAATTAGTTTATGTTCCAGCTTTTATTTTAACTCTTTACCAAACAACACAGGTCAACTACAGATATAGGATCTACACAATCACACCAAGGTGTACTACAAAGATCAATCCACGAGGTTCCCACTTGTATAAGAGATACATGATATAAATTGACATATATAATGAAGAATATATTCACCTGCTAACGGAATCCCGAGCAAGCTGCCGAAGCCGATGGCACACATCTGGATCGAGTAGACTGCCAGAAAATTGTGCAATCCAAACATATCCATCGTAAGCATTGCGACTATCGCAATCTTGATGCCGTAGGAAAGACCAAATATTCCTATAATGATGTGGTAGTAGACGATGTTGTTCCATGCTAGCAGTAACACTCCACAGGCACCGTGAGCTATTGAACCTGTCCAGAAATAAACGCAGAGTGACAATAAACAAACTTGAATTTGATTTTGATGAAATTGAAGCAATTAAATGCGCTACGCAAAGTCGAGACGAATAGCGGAGTAACATTTCAATTTGTTTTTTATTCTCAAATCTATTATTAGATTATTAAGGGGTTGGTTATCACGGGCTTGCAGTGGCAGGAACACCTTTATTTCTGTGGCATCACGAGGAAACAGGACGGCATTCTGCATTGCTAAACCAGCTCATGACAAACGCAGGAAGTGTGTAGATAATGCAACATGCAGCCATGAGAACAAGTTGAGACGTTTTTGGAGGAAATATTTCAGTGAATTATCATTTTCTATGAAGCATTGTCACCGAGTTTCGGTACGCATCAGAATAGGGTAAAACCCTTTACATTACATAGATACCCCGCGACATTTATCTGGAGTTGCGTCACTTCTGTGTGAAATTTGACGTACATTTCCTGACTTTTTATAAAGTTAAAATAAAAAATGGTGTCCATTTTGACAATAAAAGTACACCTTATCACCCCTCAAATTTTTATTAGTATTTTGCATCGATCTCAAGAATGACCAAAATGAAAAACCAAAACCCGGAAATCCGCGAATCCGCGGAAAATTCTCATGCCTGAACATACTTATGTTAAACATCCACGTGGTGGCGGTGGGCACGTGTCCGACAAAGGCGATGATCAAACGCACGACAAAGGTGCAGATTCCCATCGTCGTTGTCAACCAGGCAGCTTGAGATCGTGGCACGCCCATCGACACCACATAGTCGATGCTCAGTATGAGCACAATCATCAGGCCCTGGCTCCAGAGGAATGTGTTCGCCGTGAACAGCGACATCTTCGGGTCCTTGAAGAGATGCATTGCGAAGATTTTGTGCAGAGTCACCCTGTTCTTCACATTTTTTATGTGCTTCGGCCGTTGCAGCGCGCCAGCGATGACAATCTGCAGGCAGAAGCCTGCGTTTATCAGACACGTTCCTCGCCAGCCGACATTAGCAATCAAGTAGTTAGTGAGTGGCCCGGCAATCATTACAGAGACAGCGCCACCTGCAAACGCCAACGCTGTGACGACGTAGCGACGCTTTTCAAAATAGAGGCCAACCGAGTAGAGTGCCGGAAGGTGTGATCCGCCTAGACCGATTCCTATAAAGAAGAACGAGGTATTAAAGATAAACGGCGGAGTAAATATGGCCACATCGGAAGTGTGATAAAACTCACTCCATAAGTTGTTGCTCACGTCAATGACTGATGTACACGTGGTCTAAAAACCAGAGCGACATATTAATGATTCATCATCACATGAAATTTAGGTTACAATCCTTTATGTCTCCTATGCAGCAGAACAGCTACAAATTCAAAAGAAAATCATGACTGGATTCCAAAAACTTTTTTACTCAAGCTCCAGGTTTACATATATAGTTCTGCATCAGTCCCTTGTGAAGACATCCACTGTGACAATTCAAGTCAACCTAAAGTGGCACCCTGTTATTTGTAATCATAGTTTGCCACACATCTGTTAGTTGCCATAATTTGAGGAAATACCTTTTTTATATGAATTTATGCATCACTGACATATGGAATATATATGTCACTTTGATCTTGTGACATGATTGTTGCCTGTCTTTAGCCCACTAACATTCTATTTACAACCGTCCAGCTCAACTAATTATAGACAGAGACTTAAAATGACTATTGCGAGATTTTTGCTCAGAAAAACTAAATATAGCTGAATATAGTCTCACCTGACAGCGAAAATATCACTGATTACACCAACATTAAAAATACTAAGATTTTATGCAGTTATAGCATAGAAAATTGGATATGAACACATCGTAACAGCAATGCATTTTATCGTGTCGCGACAATGCCTAATCTAATGGCAGAATTGGTAAACTTGTATTTGTGTCGGTGATTAATTGAAAACAAGTGCATGATTTGAGAGAGCCATGCTTTGTCTATGGCAGATAAGCGGTGGCGCCACAAGCTAATCCACACTTCCGCCTAGTTCAAGATAACAGAAAACGAATGGTTACGAAACTAGTTCGAAACCAGTAGTTCGAAACTGGCAGTTTTTGGTGAATATGAAGGTTCTAAGACATTTTATTGTTACTCTAGACAATTGCTGTTACTCAAGCAATAACGGTAGGTGTCATGAGTGGTGAAAACACTGGAAAATTCTCGCAATAATCGCTTTAATATAATATTAATTTATTCATGTCGCTCTAAAACCATTAGTAAAAACAGCAGCAAACTAATAACACTATTTCTTAAATGAACTATAGCTGTATAAGATAGAAAGATAGGTATAACGTAGGTTCAAGTAGTCATAGTCACCTGTCACAACTCCATATGATAAGTATAAGAAAAAATGATCAGTGGCAAAAAACGAGATTGCTTGTCCGAGGGCTGCAATGATGCCACAAACTATCATGCACCACCTCACTCCAAAGCGTTGTGTTGCCAGGTTACTGAAAGGACCTGCAAGAGTAGAAAACACGTTTTGAAAACCGGGTGTCTATAGATACCACACTGTCAGTTGGAGGGCATCTCATATAAGCCTGCAGCTAGACGTATCAATCAACATATATATAGAATTCAATAGACACCACTCTAATGGAAACAGACTATGCGAGAATGTGTTCGGGGATGATTTCAAACAAGATTACTAGTTGTCAAAAGTTGCAAGTCATAGGGAAGATAGCCTATGTATGTTTGTTGTTACCGTAAGGGTTGTCGCGGACATTTTGCAGCATTTATTAATAGTATTAGGAATGCTGAGTATATGATTTTGCAATGACATATCATCAGATAAAATGTTGCAGGAATGATAAAGAAAGCGAAAGTTATATTGCAAAACTTATATTACAAAGTGACTACTGAATAGATATTAAGAATACCCATGACAACTAACTTGAAAAGTTATTGCACCAAAAATCACGTTAGACTAGAATCATGTAACAAAAGAAAATTGGGATCGAGTCCCTTGACTTTGTAATAAGACAAGGTTCACCAAACCTATTGCAATTAAATTTTCTAGGCTGCTTAAACATTCTAACAAAAAGCAAAGAAAGAAAAAAAGAAAAAAGAAAAATTGTATAGAAAAGTAAAGAAAACTTCGGTGATATGCATAAAGCAAACATCTGACCCTGTGGTGGACAGACTGACACTGTAAACCATATATCCTACCACACATATCCACCCTGCAAAGTCGCAACAATATAATATGCGATACAGACAGGGTGATGCGATAAAACTATTTTTTAGAGCCTACTATATTCACACATAACACAACTAACTCAACCATATATCGATGTACAACTAAGCGTTAATTCTTTGGGAGGCTTCTCTTACCGATCAGGAACACGGTGGCCGTCTGTATAGACCCGATCCACGCGATCGCCCCGCGACCCACGTCGAAATAGTCGTGCAGTTCGACGAACAGCACCGGGAACGAATTCATCGAGTACATCATGCAGTACAACTGCATAAATATCGACAAGAGGATAATCCATGCATATCCGCCATCGACGTCCTTCTGCTGCCGCGTCGCCGTGGCGACAACGACGTCGTCTGCTGCGAGCGCCTCCTTTTCCGCAGCCACTGCCTCTTCCTTGCTTACATAGCTGTTAAGCCGCGGAGATTCGGCCGATGCTGGCGCAGGGTCGGCCATCTTGTTTTATCTGGAGGTGATAACAGTGTGATAAAGATTCCAGTGAACGGTTGGCCGCTTGTGGTGATCGACAGACTAATGGCGGGAGGCCACCGATGGAAAAGCTGTACACGCTGATAACGATACAGCACACAACAGACGGTTCACCTCTACTGACTAATAAAAGTATTTTAGTCTTACACAAGCATATGTGAATCTAACTTGCCCGATCACTCTCACTCGATGTTATATCTTTGTGTACGACATGTACCATTGAGCATTTTATCACTACAAGCATCATATTTGAATGGATCCCTGGCATATATAAAGGCCTCTAACAGGTTTCCTACATTTTTCTACATCACTTTTCTACAATCTGTTTTCTACATTCATTTCGACATTTTTCTTGATTGGCTCACATGCAGAATTTCCTAGATACCACGATTACAACCGAACTTTGAACATAAAAAAAACTACTTGCCACAGAATTAGGGTGATTCAAGTGACTTCAACAATTCACAAATAAGAACACTCGATCACTATACTGTTCTAAATGTTGAATGACAAGTGGGAGAGTATGCTCTGGTATCTCCTTACACTTCTAGGAATATAACTCACAAATAAGGTCAACATCCTGCAATAGTCATATCCTTCCCTTCAATCCCTTGTCAGTAACTCACGTTAATTATATACTTGTGACAGCTAATCCCATATACAATGTAAATGTATATATATATATACAAGATAAAACTCTGAAATACTTATATGATTAAGGTAATTATCATATTTACAAGGTAATTCAAGGGTATTATTTTTTCAAGGTAATTATCAAGGATAATTCATCATATTTAAGAACTATATACATACTTAAATGCTTATGCTTAGTAGACATAGCTTATGTATTCCTTTCTAATAAATTCTACACAATATATTTGCTGTTCTCACTATAAACTATATACCTTGGTAAAACAGAAAATAGCTACATCACCCGCACCCCACCCTGAAACTTTGACTATACTCATGACCCTGTTTCAACTATGCATATATTTTTCTAATACGGCCTGGACACTATCCTATTGCTGGTACAGGAGAGAAACATTCATCCTTCCATCCATCCATCCTTCCAGCCAGCGATCCAGCCAACCATCCATCTATCGATAAATCCACTCATCCATCCAACTACCCACCCATCAATCGACCAATTTAATATTGATCCATCCACCCACCCATTCCACCCCCCATCTTCCCGTACCATGCATCCTCCATACAGCCAGCGCCCACACCACCCACTCGTATATCCATTCATCAGCCACCCGCCAACCACCCGCGCCGCCGCCCGTCCATCCTCATCCACCTCCATCCCATCTGCCGAACCCTCATCAATCCGCCTAGTAGGCGCCTACCCATCCATCTTACCCATATTAATACTATATACTGGCTGGCAATTAAAATCGGCGATGCCGGATTTTTTCTGGGCGTTTACTGCCTTTCGCCTACTTTCATGGCGTTTTTCTGATATGCTTGCGTTTCGCGCATTTCATGCGATTGCCTGATTTTTTCGGCCTGACTATTGTTAACTTTTACTGCTGCAGGAGTAGGAGGGTATATAGCAGCCAGCCGCGCTGGACACTTTATTAAATAATAAATAATTTTATTGTATTATTAAACTTTTTTTATTTTGTGTATTTTTTGGCGCGGGCCTTATAATAATGGTCGTGCGACATGCCTGATAAGCAATTATATTTGTTGTTGGGCCCAGGTGAGCTCTTCACGGGGGGGCGGGGGGGAGGATGAGATAGACAGGAATGGACAGACACAAAAACAGTACTCGGCCCCGATTCTATTTTATTCTATTTATTTATTTTTCTGCTGCGCTGGATTCGTCTCGACTTTTCTGCTGCGTGTATTATGTATAGTCGAGCGGCTAGGGATTGCCTGTTTTGTTAATTTTCTGCTGCGCTAGTATTTTTTTTGAGCGGGAATCTGTCTTTGTTTTTTTTTGCCTTATTTTGCCTTTTTGTTCTGCAAATTGTTTTTGGCCTAAAAGTAAAACATGGTCGTCGCGTCATGCTGATTGAGAATATTACCTCACGAGTCACCTTTACTCAGTGTTACTTGGTCTCGAGAAGACAGACAGACAAATCAGATAGATCGACGCGATTTTATTGCTAGGAAGATGAATACGCAACACTTCGAAAATACGAAAATAAGCAGACAAGATTACAGCATTTATACCTATGTGGTAGTCGTCTATGACGCTGTCGTGTCCCTTCAAACGGTCCAATAATTCGTTTATTGTCGCTGTATTCGGAACATAAGGAGCTACAAAATACAAGCTACAATTAGAGCGAAACGCCGCACTCGATGCCAGTAGAGGAGTAGTTATAGCGCCAACCGCGCGCGACCTTTATTAAAATAATAATAATTTTATTGTAATTTTAAACTTATCTTTATTTTGTGTATTTTTTGGGGGGCGCCTGTATAAATTGGTCGTCGCGACATGCTGATTAGCAATATATTTGGGTGTTGGGTGCGTGAGCCTCTTCGGCGGTTGGGCGCTGGCGCGGGGGAGAAGATAGACAGATGAAGGACAGACACAAAACAGACTCGCACCCTTTATGTAGATATAATATATATATACACACCACACAATCATTCATTCTGTTCCATCCATCTATCCACCATGCACCCATCCAGCCACCCACTTGAGTAAATATCATCAGCGTTTATACAGTGTGTTGTGCCGATCGGTCCATCCATTCTACCCAGCAATCACGCGGGCCCAGCCTAGTTTAGCAAGCCTCGGATTAGTTGCTTTGATTTGCTTTGCACTCACAAACCTTTCACAAAACAACTGGGAAAACAAACGGCCATTTGTAATATTTGCTTATGTATGGCATGTTTTTTGTTTCATAATTCGGAGTTTTGTTTATGCCGTTGATTTATCACAAGAATAACATTTCGATTTTTATCACAATAATATACCATTGCATTTTTCACAAATATAACATCTCTTCGATTTAATCACAATTAACATTTGATTTATTGCATTAACAATTTGCATTTACATTCCACATTAATATTTGATTATTTAATCATATGTTATATCGCAATAAATCGAACAATTATTCCCTGTTTATAAATGTCACATTATTTTGAATTTTATCATCAGAAAGAGATATCAAACCATTCGATCCTCGCATCAACCCATTCGATCCGTATCTTGGAATTGATATCGATTCACGGATTACGTGCTTCGGCTGGCCGGCCTCTGTCCGCAGCCACGCTCACTTTTGATCTCGGCCCGAGCCGCTGACATTTTCCCGTCTGTCTGTTTTGTACATTTTCCCTGACACCGGTTGCGTTCCCGCATCGCCATCACTTCCCCTGGCGTGTGGGATTTGCTCGTCTTACAATATATTGTTGCAATTCTGCGGCCGGCGAGTGAGCACAGACGCCTCGATCGTTCACCTCCCTCTCTCCCTCTCCCTCCTCCCTCCCTCTCTCACTCACTATTACCACCTTGACCCCACCCCCTCCCATCCCTCTCTCACTCATCTTACACCGTTGACCCTCCCCCCTCCCTCCCTCGTTTCCTCACTCACCACCTCGGATTTTTCCTCCTCCCTCTCTCACTAACTCACTACACCATCTCGATCCACTCTCCTCCCTCTCACTTCACTCACCACTCATCGCTCCCTCCCTCTCTCACTAAACTCACTTACCACCTTGACCCCTCCCCCCCTCCACTCCCTCTCACTCACTCACCACCTCGATCCCTCCTTCCTCTCTCACTAATCACTTACCCCTCGACCCCTCCTTCTCCCTCCCTCACCACCTTTCCCCCTCCTCCTCGCACCACCTCCGCTCCACCACCTCTACCCCTTCCCCTTTTCCTCTCCACCAGCTTGTTCCCCCTCTCTTTCCTAACATTCTCCCACTCTCCTCTCCTTCCACCACATTCTCCAACCTCCTCTTACTCCTCTCAACCACTCTCCCGCCTCCTCTACCATCCTCCGTCTTCTCCCACCAATCCTCTCCTTACTCCCTCTTCTACCTTCATCCACCTTACTTCCACCATCCTCGACCTCCTCCCTCTAGTCTCTACTCTTCCCCCTCTACCTCCTCCCTCCTCTACCTCCTCCCGCACCACCTTCTACCCTCCTCCTCCCCCTCCTCTACCTCCTCCTTCTTCTCACACCACCCTCTACCTACTCCCTCTTCTACCTTCTCCCTCTCCTCTACCTCCTCCACCTTCTCCCACCATCCTCGACCTCCTCCCTCTTCTACCTTCTCCCCCTCCCCTCCTCCACCTCCACTCCTCTACCTCCTCCCCCTCCTCCCCCACCACATTCTACCCTCCTCCTCGACCACCTTCTACCCTCCTCCTCGACCTCCTTCCTGTCCCCCTTTTCTACCTCCTCCCCTTCTCCCCCTCCTCCTTCTCCACTACCTTTTCGCTCGTCCTCTACCTCTTCTACCTCCACCCCTCCTCCTCCCCCACTACCTTCTCCCTCGTCCTCTACCTTATCCCCTCCTCATATACCTCATCCCTCTTCCTCTATTTCGATGCACGGATCGAATGATTCGATTCACGGTACATCAATCAGTGTGAGTGCAATGGCCGAATGTTGACGTGAAATGCGGCACGTTCATAGTGCGTTTGCGGAAAATGCCGAAGGGGAACGTTGGTTCAGGTTATTGACAGCGGAGACGAAGTTATATTATTGCGTAAGTGGCCCGGGCAAAGTCGAATAGAAATGTGACGGCCGCAGGACATGAATGGTAACTGAAATCGCGTGAAACACGCGAGCCGTAAAATTGTGAAAAATCGTCAAAACAAGGTGAGGTTGCTGGGTGAAACGACGTATTGTTGCACCTTTGCGACAACAAATGACCCCTTTCTTGCTAGAAATTAGTTGACAACAACCTCAAAAAGACCTCTGTAAAATTTTAAAACTGTACCCCCACATTAACCAAACTCCCGATATGGGGGTGTAAACGCTACTCTGACCGCTACTAATATACCATATATAGTACTCGCGTAATAACCGCAAATTTGGCCTCAGATTTCAACCCTGTATTTGCTCTGCGATTTATAAGTGCGCAATACCGTGAGGGGAAATATACTAGGCGCAATACTTGGTTACGCGATTCAAATTGAGGTGCGGCTTATAGGCGCCCGCGGTAAGTACTATGTCTATGGTCTATCCACCCATCGGATTCATAAACTCGGCGTTGGCCATATCGCCAACACACTGGCAGCAAGAACAAGCCCGCACGTACAGCACACACGCGGCGACATTGACTATATAATAGATGTAATATATACGTAGTATTATACAGTTGTATAAGTTATATAGTTATACAGTTGTAATTGTATTATATAGTCAATGGCGCCGCGTGTGTGCTGTACGACAGTACGTGCGCGGTGCGGGCTTGTTCTTTCTGCCAGTGCGCCAACATTGTGAAAAAATCAATGCCAATACCAATAGGCCTACTTGATAGCTTCGTAATGATTAATATGTATATACCAATAATTTACTTGCCAATTTTTTATTACTGACCTGGTAAGGGAGTTATATAATATATTATTACTGACCTAGAAAGTACGGACACCTGCTCGCCTGCACACACGCGTGACGACGGGCGACAACCGAACAAACATCAACGCCATCTACCGACCAATATATCATGTGATGAAATTTGTTGAGGTATATAATATAATCGGGAGCACAGATATTAGATATTATCATGGGCGAAACTACTGGGGGTCGGGGGGGGGGTCACGACCCCCTGACTTTTATGTGGACCTCCCCAACTTCTGGAAGATCTTATTTTCTGGGAGGTCCAAAATAGTCCGATAAGAGTTTATTATCGTGAAACATCCATATTTCACAGGTGAAAGTTAAAATAAATAAAAACCCCAGGTGGTCCAGTGCATGCAGTGTGATAACTGTGATTCAGATATCTAAATAGAACCCTTGTTAATATCATTTAGATTCGACCTACATAGTACATTCAATCTCACATGCATGGAACGAGCACGATATTCACCACGCGTTCGCAAGCCAACTGTGTTATAGACACACACACAAAATATAGGCCCATCTTCACACAAGCGGCGCGTCGCGGCGCGGCACCGTTCACCCTTACCTTCTAATCTATGATATCTTCTGGCGCAGTCTCCACTGACACTGCACGGCGCAGGCCTGGTTTCACGGCGACGGCGAAAGTCAAATGAGTTTGACTTTTGCCGGCTGACGTGACGGCGAAGACAATTGAACCAATCAACGCGATTGTTTTTTATCACGTGTTCTGGAATCGATATTGAAGCGATTGCAAAGGATTTTGTTGCAAAGTGTGACTCAAGGAAGGTCACATTTAGTTTCAAACACTGTTCTCTGTTTTCACGTGTCAGACATTTTCATCATTATTATTTTCCTCTTCATCTTAATCATGCTAACTGTGTCACACAGTTAGCACAGTCTGTGTGTAGCTTTACTACTAGCTTAATCTAATTAATAAAACATTTTGGTATTTTATGTATACATGATCCTAGTAATGTCATTCATGACATCACAATTATGCAACACTTCCATTAACACGCTGAAATACGTGATATTGAACCAATACGTGATATTGAACCAATACGTGATATTGAACCGTGTATATGCGTGATATAACCGTGATACGTGATATTCGCTCGCCCGCAGATCCGCTATTGGCTGCTTATGACCCCCCAACTTTCAACACGTGGTTGCGCCCTTGAAATATCATATAACATTCTGGTCATTATGGTGTTATATGATATCTATGATCGGAATTATAGATGATATAGACCTTAGACATTGGAATAAACATTTGTTTGTGTCATACTACTCGCAAATGTGTTCTATATTTTGTTTTGTGCTCCCTACAATTTCCTTTGACAATAAAATTTGGTTTGCAGTGGGCATGCATGAAAGCCAAACCTTATATATACAGATACCTATTATATATGCTACATAAAGGGTATGGGAAAATCGGGAAGATTGAATACAAACACTTTATAGTAAGAAATTTATACTGGTATAAGACACATTCAATGATACAATGCATTGAAGTTCGGGGAGATTGTTAGGGATGCCTTATAATAGAGACATATATATATATATATATATATATATCACAACTTCATACAAAACTTCTCGTGAATACGTCGTCTTTACATATTAAGTGTATAATTTCAACTAAATAGCGATGTCTTTTGGCATGTAATACGCAAATGCGAACACAGGTTTAGCGATAATTCGGGAAGACTGACGGACGCGGTGTTGATGCATCCTGACCTGAGCAAGTTTCTGGCGGGGGGGGGGGCGTGCAGAATTAATCTCGTAACCTCACTGAGTAACGAATAACTATAATTTGTTTACGGGTCCAAAACGCAAACTAAGCACATGGTGGAATTCAACTGAGTAAATAAATTTGTTTTCTTGTGTGCCACGTTTATTCAAGGGTTGTTTACATTAATTATGCATACGTTTAATTTTTGATTTTTAAAACTAGCGGGTAGCCCGGGGGGCACTCGCCTCGGAACTGGGTAGGGGAATGCGGCTGCCTCGGGGACCTTGAAAACTTGACCCTGTCGCAAACCGCTTTACGCCCTAAAATACACCCTGTCCCAATATACTGCACTAAAAATTATACCCTGTTGCAATATTGCACACTTCGGTTATGTCCTGTCCTGACAATATAGGCAGATATTGGTCCAATATAGGCCTGGTGATATATTGGCCCAATATTGTTTTGCCAATATTGGGCCGATATTCGACCAATATCTGCCTATATTGGTCCAATATTGGCATGGTGATATTGGCCTAATATTGGCAAAACAATTATGCTTTCAGCTTGATGGGTGGGTATCTAGATAACCCTGTGCCAATAATGATGTTCGGAAAATATATACCCTGTCCAGCGTCACGTCCCCAGTGGAGTGCCCCCCCCCCTCAGGGGCGTGTGCTCGCGCAGAAAACGCATCTAAAGGGGTCTAATTTCAAAATTTTTCTGGGGGAGGGCCCCCCACACGTGCTCTCAAGTTTGGGTTACGGTTAGACCCCCCTGGTACAAATCCTGTACACGCCCCTGCACCGGGGGGGGGGGGTAGTAACTGCTGCCTCCCGAAGCCTGTCACATCCAGAATTACGGCGTACAAACTTTCCCCACCTCTCCCTCTCTCGTGACGTATTCTCTTATATTCCGATCTAGAGACTTAATTGTGTCCGTTGGTGTCGTACGTAAGTAATCATAAAAATATCCTAATTAGCGGAAACGAGCAGTCAGTTTTCTCGCAACACTCGGCTCATATGCACGCTTCTTATTTTTTTCTAGGGTTCTAGGTTTTTTCTATGGCAGTTTTCAGAACATTTTTTACTCAACTTACATGAGCATGCAAGCACCATTAAAAGACTGTCCATGTCGTTTGGCTAAAGCACAATACTATAGTAGCTGGAAGTATTTATTTATATCTCGTTAAACTCATATGAAACGATGTGGACAAAAATGAGATTGCCCCTGTTATATATTGTTACTATTGTTGTTGTTGTTAACGTTACTATTATTACCTCCGCCAAGGGGTTGGCAGGAGGTTATGTTTTCACCGACGTACGTTTGTTGGTTTGTGGGTTTCTTTGTGTACAGCGTCAACTGAAAAGTTATGGACGGATTGTCATAAAATTTTCAGGATAGGTCAGAAATGGGCCAACTTAGAACTGATTAGATTTTGGTGGTGATCCGGATCCAATTAATTAATTAATAACATTTTCAGGATAGGTTAGAAATGGGGTAACTTAGAATTGATTACATATTGGTGGTGATCCGGATCCAATTAATTAATTAATTAATAAAATTTTCAGGATACGTCAGAAATCGGGTAACTTAGAATTGATGACATTTTAGTGGTGATCCGGATCCAATTAATTAATTAATTAATTAAATTTTCAGGATGTCAGAAATCGGGTAACTTAGAATTGATTACATTTTGGTCGTCATCCGGATCCAATTAATTATTTAATTAATAAATTAATTAATAAAAATTTTCACAGTGACAGGATTGAGCTGCCTTGGCGGAGGTCTGTGCTCTCCAAGTGCTTTAGTTATTATTATTATTATCATCATCATCGTTATCATCGTCATCACAACGACCATCGTGTACGTGTTTGATGTCTCAAAAATAAAAATAAACTCGTAACCAACGCGATTGCAGCGAAGGTGTTCATTGCTCTTTATTAATGATAACATCATCAAGCAATGCCCTAATATTAAACCTATCAACAGGTTCCCTTCGCGGCCTGCCGCACGCCCCATGGCACAATCACATAGTGGCATTTTCCAGCATACAAACAAGTGATGACGTCAGCAAGCCATATAAAAACACACGGTGGGCTCAATAAATGCTTGATACACATCAAGAGTAGATAATATAACATCTACTCTAAGTTAGATTAGATTTATATTTAGTAAGTTATATTATCTACTATTGATACACATGTAAATCTAGACAGCGTGAACCGAAGTGAAAGACTCTATACAGTCCATACATATACTACGGCTGCAACTAGGGTGCTGTGCCGATGAGGCACGAGACGCGAATGGTTCGTTAAGAAGTGATAGGATAGGAGCGCCGATGGCTCCATCCATGCAGCCTGTTCTGCTAGCATCTATGACAAATACGACATACGCTCTCCTATGACACTATTTCTCATAGGAAGATTCTTCTTATGACTAATATTGTTGTATGTGTTGTGCGCATCATATGAGTTTAGGAGCGCTATTATGAACGCAAGCAGTGAATTTCAGCTGTAAAGCGGAACGAAGTTGACTCGCCAATATTTGTCATAGGAAGAATCTTCCTATGACAAATAGTGTCATAGGAGAGCGTATATGCGTATGTCGTATTTGTCATAGATGCGAGCAGAATATGTTGATCCATGTGACCAACACTTCACTCCGGGTCCGCAATAGGGAGAGAAGAACAGATATAGCCTATAGGTAGTGCTAGCGGTAAATTGCCACTTCGTCTACAACCATTTGGTCCACTGTTCACTTGGTCTAATTGGCAGTAAATCAAAAGGGTCCATGACCCCCTGACCTCTGTCTGCCCTGGCTCATTAGGATTGGATTACGGTTAGTATTAGAGTTAGGGTTAGGGTTAGGGTTAGTCAGAAATAGCTAAACGAGCCAGGTCAAACAGAGGTCAGGCTAGTAGACCAATTGGTTGTAGACGAAACGCCAATAAACCGTGCTAGCGCATAGAGTGCCGTAGTCACACGGCGGTGCGAAGCAGGCTTCATCGGAATACGGCCAACTTCTTATTTAGTTCCCTATATAAATCAGGAGTGAATAACAATAGATCTATTATTATTCACTCATGATATAAATGTGATCTTCGTCAATTTCCCACGGCTGTATTACATAAAATTTGTTTAACGTGAGGGCACAAGTGTGAAAGGTGTCATAATGCAGCACTTTGGTGACAAACAACGTAATATGCCCGCAATGGATACTTTAGGACATACATAATATAGACATACGATGCGTTCTAGTTGTAACACAGTGTAGTGGAATCAATATAGAAAGAATACTTTGTGTTTATAGTACAAAATGTATACAATGTTCAACTTCACGCGCACGCAATGCTCGACCAATGCAATGCTCTATAAGCAAACGTTTGCAACCCTCATGTCGCATACTTTCTTCTTCTTCTTTTATAGCGAAATCCAAAATAAAGAGAGAAAAACGTTCACCCTTATAGGATCTGATCCTGGGTTATTACGTACTCACCGCGAAGAAGATGGCTAATGCAATCGCTATTAAATCAAGAGCACTGAATTGCATTGAATGGCACGAGCAATAATGAGAGTTGACTGTCAGTAGACCGGCGCCCATCAACTAGCACTAGGATAATATCAGGAGTGTCATAATATAGTCTATATTATAATATATTAAGTGTCTAATATAGTCATTATGGCGCCCATAATTATAATATAGACTATATTATAATATATTATATATTATAACATATAATATATAATAATATAATGATATAATATAATATAATATAGTCAGGAGTGAATAATAATAGATGATTCTATTAGTGTGATAATCTATTATTATTCGCTCCTGACATAGTCTATATTATAATATATAAAATATTATAATATAGTCAGGAGTCTATCAATACGGATACTATAAAATATTGATAGACTCCTGATATAGTCTACATTATAATATATAATATATTATAATATAGACCATATTATGACACTCCTGATATTATCCTAGTGCTAGTTGATGGGCGCCGGTCTACTGACAGTCAACTCTCATTATTAATTAACAAAATAATTATTATTAAAGTTCATTATATCGTATTCTCCTTGAGTTGGGCTGTTTTTTTTCCCCGCAACGCTGTGAATCCCTTAGTTTTAGTCTTGATAACGAAAGGGGAAAGATGGCGGTGCGTATGTCGTTACCCAGTCGCAAAGCGACATAAGTTTATGCGTTCAGTCCGTCTCGACCACAAGAAATTACGATAACCCACTCTGACCAGTAACAGGGGGTGAAGATACAACACATAAACTATACACAGTAAAATTTAAGGCACGTCCATATTTCCGACCCTTACTTTTGAATTTGAAAATGCCAGCCAACATTAACATGAACACGTAGACGATCAATATCTCTGGCGTTTAGGCCATTTCGTGTAGGAGCAAAGCACTGGAATTTGCCTCACTGAACAGTCAAAAAGTCACCATAAAATTACTTATTTACACCTCTTTAGAAAGTACATTTCATGTTTCTTTCTAAGTGACCAGCTTCATGTTGGCACAGTGCTCATGTGGTGAAATCCTAGCTTGCACTACCTCTATAATATTCACAGGGGCGTGTACAGGATTGTACCAGGGAGGGGGGTCTAACCGTAACCCAAACTTGCAAGCACGTGGAGGGGGGGTCTGGGGGGCCCTAGCACAGAAATTTTTTGAAATTAGACCCCCTTAGATGCGTTTTCTGCGCGAGCAGGGGGGAGTCCAGACCCCCTGGACCCCCCCCCCCCTGTACACGCCCCTGATTCAGCTTGAAAAACTATCAACTACCACTACTACTACTGACAAGTGACTTGCATATACACTCTCTCTTGAATTATGACACATATACATAATGTTACAACGTAATGTTACAGTTTCAGCTGACCCTTATCAAAGACCGCATAGAATATAACCGTATATCGTCATTGCCCTCATTATATCCACATATATGATAACAGCACATATGCATGAAATGTCTATAAACACAGCGAGCTAGCATCCGGCATATTTGGCCAGCTAGCAAACAATAACTTGAGGAACCGTATGAAGCCCCTTCTATACAATATACCCCGGTGATTCCATATATGCAAACATTGTTTACACGCTATACTTCTGACATGCCTTAACACGCCGTATAAAACCGTTAATAAACTAGAAAGGGCAGTTGGCGCCAACTACATGTATCCCCCGTGTTCTCCAAAAGATGTGTAAGTATACGAAGTTTGGTCGCACTAGGTCAATTAGGGGCCGAGTTATAGAACGGAAGGGAAATATGATGAAGGTCAAGGTGAAGGTCAAAGTCAAATAAAGGTTGCAGTGACCTGGTTTTGGTACGCTGCTCACCTTCTCCCCAAGATGTGTAAGTATACCAAGTTTGGTCGCGCTAGGTCAATTAGGGGCCGAGTTAGAGAGCGAAAAGGAAATATGATCAAGGTCAAGGTAAAAGTCAAATAAAGGTCGCAGTGACCTGGTTTTGGTACGCTGCTCACCTTCTCCCCAAGATGTGTAAGTATACCGAGTTTGGTAGCGCTAGGTCAATTAGGGGTCAAGTTATAGAGCGGAAGAGAAATATGATCAAGGTCAAGATAAAGGTCAAATAAAGGTCGCAGTGACCTGGTTTTGGTACGCTGTTCACCTTCTCCCCAAGATGTGTAAGTATAACAAGTTTGGTAGCGCCAAGTCAATTAGGGGTAGGTGAGCTCTTACGGGGGTGGGGGGGGAGAAGATAGACAGAAGGACAGACACAAAAACAGACTCGCCCTTTATGTAAGATATATATATATATATACACCCACACAATCATTCATCTGTCCATCCATCTATCCACCCATGCACCCATCCAGCCACCCACTGGTAAATTCATCCAGCCGTTTATCAGTGTGTCTGTGGTCGGTCCATCCATCTACCCAGCAATCCACGCGGGCCAAGCCTAGTTTAGCACCTCGGATTAGTTGCTTTGATTTGCTTTGACTCAACAAACTTTCAAAACAAGGGAACAAACGCCATTTGTAAATATTTGTTATGTATGGCATGTTTTTTGTTTCATAATTCGATTTTTGTTTTATGGTTGATTTATCACACGAATAACATTCGATTTATCACATATATATACCATTTGATTTATCACATATAACATTCGATTTATCACATATAACATTTGATTTATCACATATAACATTTGATTTATCACATATAACATTCGATTTATCACATATAACATTTGATTTATTGCATATAACATTTGATTTATCACATATAATATTTGATTATTTAATCATATGTTATATGCAATAAATCGACAATAATTCCCTGTTTTAAATGTTCACATTATTTGATTTTATATCAGAAAAGAGAATCAAACCATTCGATCCTGGCATCAAACCATTCGATCCGTGAATCGAATGATTCGATTCACGGAATTACGTGCTTTCCGGCTGGCCGGCTCTGTCCCGAGCCACGGCTCACTTTGATCTCGGGCCCGACCGCTGACATTCCCGTCTCTGTTTTGTACATTCCCCCTGACACCGGTTGCGTTCCCGCATCGCCATCACTTCCCTGGCGTGTGGGATTTGCCCGCTTACAATATATTGTGCATTCTGCGGGCCGGCCGGTGAGCACAAGACGCCTCGATCGTTCCCTCCCTCTCTCCCTCCTCCCTCCCTCCCTCCCTCTCTCCCTCCCCCTCTCACT